TATTTTTTTTTGAGAAGCTTGAGCTTTCTGATTTTCAAAAAGAGTATCCATAAAAAGATCGCCTACATTCTTGTGTGCCTGAATATTCCCCTGGCCGTTTCTGCTCTACCCCTTTGTCAACAGCCTACAAAAAAGTCTGTGTGGGAAACATTTAACTGATATTTTTCTCACAAACTTATCTACCAAATCTGAGATTTTGATTTCATTGAATAGAACGGACTTGAAAATTGGCGGCTACGTCCACACATAATAATATGGCTATCGGAATAGTCAAAAATTGATTTTTTTAACCGTTTTTGATACGTTTTTAACTTTTCCTGAGGTTGTGGGTTCAATGGAGATAACTGTATTGGGACGTCCCCTCACATTAGTCCACTCACATTTTTTTTCACAAAAAGTTATTGCCCTAGAAAAAGTCAGTTTTTTTTTTGCTTATTTGAGATTTTTTTTTCTAAATTTTATTAATTTTACCAAAATCTATCCCCATATCTGAGAATTTAGATGCAATACACAGAACGGTATGTTGGCCACTCTTTTGCATATGAGACTACGCCCAAACGTTTTGACACAAAAACTTATGACCTTTGAAAAAGTCTTTTGAGTTTTTAGTTTTTGACCGTTTTTGAAACGTTTTGATTTTTCTCGAGAACTACCCTGCAGATCTGAAATTTTGGGTTCAATCGACAATACAGGTTAAATTGATATCTTCTGCATGGCAACTTCACCCATTTTTTTAAAGACAAAAGCATTGACTCTCGGAAATGTCAACTTTCTGATTTGCTGACCGGTTTTTCAACCTTTCTTGATAACCATTCTGCCGAATCTGCCAAAAATTAAAAAGTTTTAATCGACTCAACAGGTTGCTGACACCTTACTTTTACTATTTGATATGCCCAAGTTTTTTCGATAAAAGTTATGGCCTTCAAACCAAAGAAAGTTTTTTAACATTGGCCGTTTTTTGGACGCTTTTTTTAACTCTGCTAGAAAATTACCGTGCCAATTCGCAAGTTGAATGTTCAATCGAGAAACCCAATGTTGGCAATCTTCTCTACTTTACCGTCCTGCTTTTTTTGGTGAATTTACGAGTTTCAGAAAGTGAAGTTTTTGAGTTTTCTTAAAAACTACCCAATTAAATCTGAGATAAAAACTTCAATCTGTAGAAGCGGTTACGCAAATTTTTCCTGCAGAAGCGGTTACGCAAATTTTTCCTGCAGAAGCGGCTACTCCTTAATTTTTGTAAGAACAAGTATCAAACAAATTCACAAAATATCAAACAAATACCTCCTATTTTAGTTGGGCCCTAGGTGTCCTTCATCAAGACTTGCGAAAATTTTGGTTTTCCCAGTTTTTTCCAACTTTTTTCTTTTTTTTCGAACTTTGCTTTTTTATGATTGTGTTGTAGCGCAGTTTTTGTTTCGGATGATTTTGTTGAAAAAAATTAAAGGGCAAAATTTCTATGAGAGTGAGTTGGCGAATAGCTTTGATGTTTGTTTCGATTGGTCCAAATTGTTCGAAGCTCAATTTTGGTCACTCAATGAAAACATATCTTGTTTACATTTTAACGCAGAGTTTAGGAGGTAAAAATTATGATTTCTTGAGATTCAGGAGTTCATGAATTTCAATATCAGTCAATTAGCTCATATTCCAACAACGGAGATTATTTCCAGCCTCTTAGTTCTAGTTCTCTGCCTTTCATTATTGATATAATTTTTGAAATAGTCTATTTCTACAAACGCACCAAAAAAATCTGAAAAATGTCATCTTCAGCTTCTTCAGAAAATGTTTCTTTGGATCAGATCTTTGCCGAAAAAAGTGTTAGACCAAAACCATGTGTAATCAAGTTAGCTGGAAGTATGAGTATCGTCTTTGATGGCTTCAAATTGTTCAAAATGTTTTTTTTGGTCTGTCAGTGAAAACAAATCTTTTTATATTTTCACTTTTGTTGTGAAAGTATTAATTTTTTGAGATTGAGTTTTCTCACATTTAAATATTATTCTAATGGCTCCCGTTCAACAAACGGAACATTTTTCAATGTCTTTTTAGATATTTTGATATTTTGAACGGCAGTTCCTGATTTTTTTTAAACCAGTCGATTCGTGCATATTGCAGAACAAATTTGGTAACGCCAGGCTTAGCGTTGCTCATAAATGATGTTGGGACCATATGTAGGCCTTCTCAATGCGGCCCTGTATACGATTAGCAAGTACACTGCTCTAGCTGATTGCACATGAAAAAAAAAACTTTTATAATGGGTTGTTTTGCTGTTTGCATCTGCTTCACAGTATGCTAGCAAAAATTCAGACAGATAAAATTTATTACTTTGATTGACTTTTCGGACATTCACGATTTAGGAAGCGACTTTGCGCGCCTGAAAAACAGCGCTGCGACTTCAAATTTTTTATCACCCTATTCTCTTGACAAGACCGTAATGCTATCAAGTCGTGCCTTTCAAGACCTTGCGCGACTATTACGAGGCCAAACTGTACACCGGAAAAGCGCACAATTTGGTACCTGTATGTTTCTGGATTCCCGAGACAAATTTTTAAACAGGTTCCAGAAGGTAAGTGGATTCCAATAACAAAACTTTCGAGGATTCTGCATACAACTACTTGTAACGTAACATTTGTCGGCACCTTAAATTTGTCGCGGATTGCGCAACGAGCGAACATAGTTAGGTGTTCCGGATTCCGCAAATGTAAGCAAATTCCGAAGACGTTATTGCATTCTGCGTATATAACAGATATAAGTGGATCCTAGCTTTTTTGTTATACCGAACTGAACCAGTCCTTGTGTGAACAATTAAGAGCTATAGCTAGAAATACTATCTAGCAAATACGGAACTTAAAAGCAAGGTTTTAACTTGTGTTACTGGTTTTCAATAACAAATCTTATATAGTTTTTCAACTTAAGTCAAAGATATACTCTTTTAGTGTTTGGGAGAAATAAAAGTTTTCAAAAATTCAGCATTATAACCCTTGAAATAATTTATCTCAGTTGAAATTGAGCTGTTGGACAGTCTCGCTGATGACCCGCAAAGTAGATTTAATTTAAAAATGTAATTATGAGACATAACCATATGTTTTACTGAATTCCGCAAACAAAATGCGGATTCCGCTTACAATTTGCGGATTCTGCATGCAGTTTTGGATTGCGAAACAGCGCAATTTTTCTAAACTTCTTAAATTTACTTGTGGATTCTACAAACTCTTTCGGATTTCGCAAATACTGTTGCGGATACCGCAAATTTGTCTATTTTTGGAGTGATTTTGAGCGGTACAGTGTTTAAATATTTGTTTGTGTAATCCAAAACAGCAAAGAAAATTTTGAAAATAAAAGCAATAAATCGCATTCCGTTTACTTTTCACAAAATGCACATTATGACCTCGTTATGATGGGCGCGAATTTGAACGACTCGAAAACCTCTGTTCAACTGCGATGTACTCTTTTAGTGTTTGGAAGAAATGAAAGTTTTCAAAAATTCAGCATTATAACCCATGAAAAAATATATATCAGTTTGTTTTCTTTCTTTTAGTATTTGAAATTGGAAAAGTGTGGTTGTTTCAGTACTTGAGATTGGAAATGTGTTCTTTCTTTCAGTTTTTGAAATAGGAAAAATGTTCATTCTCTCACTAATTGAAATTGGAAAGGAGTTCATTCTTTCAGTATTTGAGATCGGAAAACGGTTCATTTTTCGGTTTTTGAAATCAGAAAAAATTGTTTATTTCTTCAATGTTTAAAAAAATTTAGCCGATTAGTTTAAAATGTTGGCAATAATTGAAATTGAACTGTTGGACAGTCTCGCTGATGACCCGCAAAATAGATTCAATTTAAAAATGTAATTATAAGACGTAACCATATACTTTACTGAATTCCGCAAACAAAATGCGGATTCCGCTTACAATTTGCGGATTCTGCATGCAGTTTTGGATTGCGAAACAGCGCAATTTTTCTAAACTTCTTAAATTTACTTGTGGATTCTACAAACTCTTTCGGATTCCGCAAATACTGTTGCGGATTCCGCAAATTTGTCTATTTTTGGAGTGATTTTGAGAGGTAAAGTGCTTTAGCTATTTGTTTGTCGAATATAAAACAGCAAAGAAGATTTTTTAAAAAGTAGCAGTAAATCGCATTCCGTTTACTATTCACAAAATGCTCATTATGACCTCGTAATGACCTTCGCGAATTTGAGCGTCTCGAAAACGTCTGTTCAACTGCGAATTTTCGGTCGCTCAATCCCTTTCGCGCGGCCGTATTCGATCGGTATTGAAATCGCAAACCTCAGCTCATGGTGTTTAACGATTGATTTATTATATGAAAACCTTTAAAGATGTGATTTTGTACAGATCAACTGAACAAAGCTTTTCGTAGCAATGCGAAGTTTCAAAACTCTCGGAATGTTCCGCCTGCCCTTTATGATCTATGAAATAGTTTTTGTTCCGAGCGCTTGACGAAGTGAGCAAAAGGGACTTTCGGACTAAAAAAAACTCGTTGGGGGTCAAGTGTCGTATCATTTTAAAGCCCAGGGGTGGATTTGGAGGACACTCTCCCTTCTCAGGGATTCGAACTCTCGCCATCAAAACGGTTCCCGTTTCATACTGTTTTATGACTTTCATTTTTTTCCGACGAACGTTACATATTTCCAAAACGCCTTTGGGCGCCAGTATAGCGTTCTTCTGAGGGAGAGCGGGCGGCAAAAAAATCTCAAAAGCGGCATTCTTGGGCTCTTTTTTCAGAAGCTTGCCAGTTAAGTTTTTTAGTTAAGGTTGATAAGTCATGATTTTTGTCTCCAATCTAAGGTAATTGATTCGTCATCCATAATCCAGCTCAGAGTTCCTACAAAGGAAAATCATTGAAGCTCTGTGAATTTACTCGTAAAATGAAAACATAGTTTTTTTCTTGAGTTTAAATAAGCGCGGTTACTTTTCACAAAAAGAAAAAAACTACTACAGTCAAATAGTTCTAAGTCACGTCAAAACTCTGCTCATAAGAACGTTGCTCTTCAAAGTTATTCATCTAGCTTGGTATTATTTATTTCTCTTTTTATATATACTTTTCATGCTTGGATTTATTGTTCCAGTTTGCATATTTATTTAAATACTCTTGTTTTTTAAATGCACTATCAACAAAATTGTTGGTTTCAACCCTTTTCTTAAAATAGTTTCTTTAAAAATTGGTCTAGTTAATTATAAATAATGACAGATATTCAAAATCGAAAACCGAAACTCCTCTCAAGCCGGGAAAGGTTTTTCACTGAGTCTTCCGACGATCGTGAACAAACTCCCTCGCCGAGGGAGACGAGTGGAACTTTCATTAGTTATGCCGACAGCTGTTCGGCCTCGATCGAAGACGAGACGTCCCAACTCCGACACGACTTGTCCTCCCCACGTGATCAAAAATCACCACATTTAGATTTCAACCAAAGACTCAACTCGGTCGCTCAGACTCGAGCTTTCTCCCCGATTCCTGAAAAAGTAGCTCCGGAGTTTCTGAGGAATTTGGAAATTTCCGACGACGGAAGTGACAAGGAGGCAATGGTTATCTCGGCTCAGATATCGGGTCGCTCGACACCCCAGGCAAACTGGTATGTTAACGGTACCCCGCTAAAAGGAGATTCCACCGGGCAAGATGAAGGAAAGTATGAGCTTAAACGAGATGGAACTACTCATAAACTAGTACTGAAGGATTTATTAACCAGCGAAGAAGAAGAATCTTGGAAGATCAGTTGTATTGCGGTTAACAGTCTAGGTGCGGCAAAAACATCAGTTGTTTTGGGCCACCATATAGAGACGCAATACATCTCGGCGAGCCAGTCGAACCTATTCGAACATGAAGAAGGAATCGACTCGGAATCCGATAATGAAGACAGCGAAGGAGGCTCGAATGACCTTGACGACACCTCGACCGCACTGAGTGTATCGACTGAAAACGGATTCAGGTCTTCAGTCAAGAAATTAAATGACAGTCGGAATGATATGTTTGGTTTTGTACCAGATATGAAGGTTGGTTGAATCCAGTGTAGTTGAATGAAGTTGCCATCAAAAATATTATAATTTAATTTTTGAAGCTTTTTTCTTACCCATTTCGTATAAGTATCATTTTTATGGGTTTACGAGGGAAGCTCTTTTTCCTCCTCCCGCCAGCTACCATAGGCATTAATTTTATAGAGTAGCGGGGGGCTTTACAAGGTTCAGTATGATGACCAAGTACGCTTGGCAGGGCCTAGCGTACTTGGTGATAAATCGGAAATGTGAACAAAAAAGTTGGTTATAAAAATTTGCAGGTGGGGAGAACGAAAAAGAGTCACGAGGGATTAATTAAAATGAAGTGTGAAAACCAAATATGTGAAATAGCCTGCTTCGTACTTATACCAATTCTTAAGAAAACCGGAAATTGCGAAACAAAATTTTGCAAGTAAAATTTTGCTGGTGTTATTTTAATAAGATAATAATCATATCTTTCCTTTCACCTTGTCGGCTTTAAAACTCTCTTATGAACTTTTATCATGATTTCTTCTTCAAAAAGTCAACAGAATTCAGGAAAAGTAAAAAAAAAGATAGTTCTATAGTCAACTTTTTCATTGATCGATGATGGTTGTCGGAACTAGTGGCGTAGTTCTGTAAGTCTAGCTACTTGGACGACAGGGAGTGTGGGATCGGTTCTCAGAGTGGGCAACTGTTGGTTGGTGGCTTGTGTTGATCTGGTGTCCACACTAAGCTCTATGTCAATATGGTTGTGTAGTGAAAGCGACATAACCAGGTTGTATGATGAGAGGCGAACCGGCCCAGGGTGGAAACACAGCAGGCAAAAGTCTCCGCACGGAGCGGTAGTTGGACAGCACTAGTGAGCGAGCACCTCTCAACAGCCACTCTGAGAACTGGGACTCAGTCCTAAATTTTCCGTTTTTGTTTCGTCTTCTTTTCGCAAGTACACCCAAACAATGAATTATGTATTTTGGGGGTCTATAATTCATTGGGGGGGGGGGGGGGGATAATGGGAAAGACTTTTAATTTTAACTGAGATCTATTGAATTGACAAGGTAATTGCATACATAGAGCATAAGATTTTGGTGGTAGAAGATGATTGGAGAAAAGTATTTTTCCCTCTTTTTTCCATTTATTACTCCTTATTATCCCCACTTAAATTTATTACTCAATATGAAATCTGGGCAACTTTCAATTTTTTTAGTTGTTTTACGAGTGATTATGGCTAAACGCGTGATGCTAAGATGAAAGGTTTGAAGAACAAATCTGTTCACCATGCAAAACTTCATTACATTGTGACAACGTAAAAATAGTTTTTCAAAACTTAAATTCAAATGTGGGGGTTGGAAAAGAGCTGAAAACTGTTCGTTTTTGTTCGCATAATTTTAAGTAAAAAAACCTTGATAAGAAAGATCTTTCAAGTGGATTTGATTTAGTTTTTTGGAATCCAACTCAAAACTGCGCAGGTAAAATTTATTTGCTTCACTCTTGATTGGTTTGTTTAAGCTTCTAAGGCTAGGCAGGGGTCTTGTCTGTGAATCTTCAATCGAGAAATTCTCTATCTACGAGACCTCAGTCGACGTCACGTGGCTGTTGGACGGGAGAGTCGTTCGCCAATCAGAACACAGTAGGATGGTGGAAAACGACTCCAACGACTGTTTTCAGCTCCAGATATCCGACTTAAGCGTGATCAAAGAGGGAACCCAGATCCTCACGTGTATTGTGTCTTCAGTAGACGGACATTGCCAGCAGTCAACCAACATCTCCGAGTTCCTGGAAAAGCAATGCAACCAAGATGAAAACCAAGAAAAACGGTTCCTCGAAAGCAACGAATGGCTCAACGACTTACTGCTTCTTAACTTTCATTCTGATTTTTACACCCCCGAAGAAGAGTTTGTTTCGCAGATTTTAGTTTCAAGTGAAATCAGTAGCGAAGACGTGAGGGCGTCCGAGATGACCTTTCAAGTTGACCTAGGCGACTTTGAAGAGCCAGTGGAGCCTTTCTGGTTGGTGGATGGAGAAATTGTGCTGAACCAAAAGTGCTTTCAGAAAGATTTCATCGAATACAGGCAAGAACTAATCCCTTTTCTATGATTTGTTATTTCAACTAAAAGTGAAAAGTCTCATTTTTCAATTTTTTTGGCTCAATTTTTGTCTTTAAGTTCAAAAGGATGATACGGCTCAAATATGAAATTTATCTAGTCTCTTACCCCGTTTTGAGTTTTAAAGTTCAATCAGGTCTGGTCACTGTAAAATCTTGAATTTTTCTCTGTTGCCCCAGATCTGAAGCATGCATATGTTAAGCATGCGCATGTCTTAGGACAGACGTGCCGCATATTTGATAATTTTTGCAACATATCTGATTAAACATAAACCATAGCTGATCCAGATCTATGAATAAAAAAATTGTCAGATCTAGGGTACGTCTGTCTCAAGACAGGCGCATGCTTAAAATATACATGCTTCAGATCTGCGCCAACAAAGAAAAGTTCTAAATTTTACAGTGACCATAAAATCTTGAGTTTCTTTTTGTTGCTGCAGATTTGGAGCATGTATATTTTAAGCTTGCGCATGTCTTAAGACAGACGTGCCGCAGATCTGATTTAAAAAAATCATAGCTGATCCAGATCTATCAGATCTAATTCAAAGCAAAATTAGAGCTGATCAGAACCTAAAAACATTAGATGTCATACTGCAAACTCGTTAAAAGTCGTTTTTCAAAATGTGAAAGCCTTCGAAAATGATACTCGATAATTTTGTAGTTCCAAGTTTCAAAAAAGTGGGAAAAAAGTTCATTATGAATTTTGTTTCTCCAAACAAATTTGAACACATCAACGAGCTACTGTGACCAGATTTCTATATCTTCTGAAAACTAGAAATCTTGTTAACTGTTCCACCAATCATCCATAGTACCTAGTAACGAATTTCCCCGCCCTTACAGAACTAAATCAACGGTTAAACATAAACAATTATTTTATCTTGTCCTGATTTTTCTCGCTTTTGCAATACGGTGGCGCCGGAAAAGTTAACAAATTTCATGCATAACAATGCCCACAGACCAAAAAATGAAAAAAAAAAAACTTATTTTTCAATCATTCTTGCAAAGTTTTGGAGGTTTTAAAACTGCTAATTTGGGATAATAACGCACAAAAACCTACCATATTGAAGTGTACCACAATCTACTTTTTTAAATCCGGCACTGCATCATCTCGCAGTAAATTCCAAGTTGTAGCAACACACAGTTTGCAAAAATTGAAGGAAAACGGCACCTCAAAAGGCGTGAAAGTTGATTATACCGCGGCATTGAGTATACAGCGAATTGTCAATCAATGCCAGGTGTCTTTTTTGCGAGTTGTGTTTTACGTTCTAAGATTTAATACAGTGCTGATTTAAATTAACCGGACAAAACGCGGTAAACTTGAAACTTCAAACGCATTTTTCTCAAATTGGGTTGAATTTAGGTGAAAACTTATGAAGACAAAACTTGCTTAAAATTTTAGCAGAATTAATATGGTGTAATTTGTTTTGCGAAATTCGTCTCAAAATTTTACCCCAAAAATGGGTCTTTTTGGCGTTTCTTAGTTAATCAAAAATTACGCCGAAAATACCTAGTCGATCACAGACATAATGATATAAAAGTGAGCCCCTTACGAAGCTCAACAAACTTTATGAAGGGTTTTTTCTCCAAAAAAAATTTGCAAATTGTTTAAAAAATGTTTTTAAATAAAAATTTGGTATTTTATATAGTAAAAACGACCTTTTTTGTCTATCAAACAAAAATAAATTAATTTATACAATATTTTGGAGAAAATATCCTTCATAAAGTTTGTTGGGCTACGTAAGGGGCTCACTTTCATATAACTATGTCTGTGATCGACAAGGTATTTTCGGCGTAATTTTTGATTAACTAAGAAACGCCAAAAAGACCCATTTTTGGGGTAAAATTTTGGGACGGAATTTCGCAAAACAAATTACACCATATTAATTCTGCTAAAATTTTAAGCAAGTTTTGTCTCCATGAGCTTTCACCTAAACTCAACCCAATTTGAGAAAAATGCGTTTGAAGTTTCAAGTTTAACGCGTTTTGTCCGGTTAATTTAAATCAGCACTGTACATATCCGACAGAACAAAAAACTTTTAAATTTGTTCTTTTTCAATATATGATAACATAAGTCAAGTTGCACTAATGTAGAGCGAATAGGCGGAGAATAAAATTTTACTTGAAATTAGATCTCAATTCAATAAATTTGTTAAATGTGAAAAAATAATTTCTTATTGCAATGAAACGTAAGGTCTGCCTATTTTTATAGAAAATTTTTGTTTATATCGAAGAGTTTTCAGGCATGCGCAGAAATAATTTTTAATGAAAAGAGCCCGTACCCTTCTTTTTATTGAAAATTAGTTCTGCAAATGCCTGAAAACTTTTAGATTTTCAAAAAAAATTCTATAAAAAGGGGCAGAACTTACGTTTAATGCAACAAAAAAGTTTTTTTTTGCATTTAACAAATTATACGAATTCCTTAAATTGGGATCTCAATTCAACTAAAATATTTATTCTCTGCACTACCAATTGACTTGTACTACCAAGAATTAGAAAAAAAAAATTTAAACTATTTTTGATCCGTCTGATAACGTAATAAAATATAGAACCTAATCCAATTCGCAGTATACCCGCCGCCACTGTATGCTCAACTTTCACAATTTTTGAGGTGCCATTTTTTAAATATTTTTGCGAATTGGGTTTTGTTACAACTTGTAATTTATTGCGAGATGATGCAATGCCGGATTAAAATGAGCAGATTGTTGTTTCAATCACTATAAAAAACCTTGGTTTGATTTTTAATAAAAAGCTGTATCAAAAATTAAAGTGACGCAATTTTTTTTGCGTTTATAGCTGCATTCTAACTTCCTCGATGAGCTCGTCAAAATCCAAATTTTCCCGCATCGACTTCGTACTTGTCGGTATTTCTCCAGTCGAAGATGGCTTGCCTGCCGTTTTGCACCGCTACGTCGAAAGACCTCAATTGGTAGGAAAACCTTACCTGGAACTGATCCCCAATACCGAGCTCCTATTGGTTGAAATCCCTCTGCGAAGCTCGCCGGGACCCGAAGTGTCGTGCTTTGTAAACGAATTACCAACAAGCGGATTTGATTGGGAGTTTTCAGCTCCCGAGAAATTGTGTTCAGTTGCACTAAACGATGTTTTGGACGAAATTGCCGAAGGCGACATGAGAATTGTGTTGACCAATCAGCTTGGATCGCTGAGTATATCTCTTACACGTGATCAAATTATGCGGTTCAAAAAACAAAGTGTTGCCAGAAATGTTGCTCGTAAAAAGTGGTTTCGCGAGTGTAGCACTGTCGAACAAAACATTGCAGGGTCTGGTAAGAAATTTGCATTAAAATAAAAATAAAAGTAATCACAATTTGAGTGATTTTTTTAATCAGCAAAACTTATTTGACAGAAAAAAGCAATGTGTCTCGACGGCGCTTCAAGGAAATATTTCTGAGACCCTTATCAGCTGAAGGTTTGTAATTTCTAAATTGACCAGTTGAACAAAAAAGTTTTTTACAACTAAATTTTTCTTTCTTTTTTTTAGCGGAGACTGTAAATATAATCTCAACCAGTCAAATTTATCGAGCAGATCTGCATTGGAAAGTCTACCAAAATAACCAGCGTGTAACGAGGAGAACGAAAAGTGTTTTTAAAGAAAACCCTGACTTCATTTTAAGTTCTGCCGAAGTCAAAAATATATTTGTGGACGTTTACATTACTGAAAACGAACATTTCAGTTTAACATGTGGTAAGAATTTGAATCCAACTTGATTTTTTCAGAAAAAAAAATCATTTTTGTTGTTTATAAAAAAAAATTCTTTGCACAGGTCAATTTTGTACACCTCAGAATGTGCCAGTTCATACCAATGTACCGTTTGGTCAATCGATATCCTTCAAGCATAAAAATGAGAAATTTGATTGGACATGCAAAAATTACCCAACTTTTTTTGACCAATCAAAAATCAGCTCTCAGTCATCAGAAGAAAGTGAGGAGAGCAAAACAACAGCGCTGATTGACAGTTCCTCGTTTGAAAATTTGATTGAAGAGAAAATACTCGAAGAAGAAATAACGACAGACGAAGAAGAAATTAGTTTCTCTCAAAATAATTGTTTGAAGTATTTTGAAACGGAAACAGTGAAAAATTTGAGACCAATGCTTGAAGACGACAAAATCCCATCTATAGCAAGCAATGATTTTCATGATCAAAAAAGTGTGGATAATTCGAACCCATGTAAGCCTGAAATTGAAAGAGAAAATTTATTAGTTCCAATGATCAATGAAATAATCGACGAAGAAGGGAAAACCAGTGATGGAAACTCTGACAGAACAGTTTACGAAAACATGTCAGATTCCGAAAACTGCGAAACCAGCTCAACTGAATCCAGCTCAGAACGTGATTCAAACTCGAACAAACTGCCTTTATCCCACTCTGGTGGTTTTCTGGATCAAAATTTACAGAAAAACTACAGAGATTCAATTATCTCAAAGGTTCTCAGTTTTGGTGGTCCGAAAGTGTCTACAGAGAGTCTAAGCACTCTGGATGAAGAAAGCGATGGCAGCGAAGGTGACCAAGATGGATCCGAGTTGATGATCAGAGATGATTTATGCCCGAAACTTGAATGTGAAATCGAGGTCGAAGAATTTCTGGATCCTATAGAGGAACTCAAAGGCGATGATAAGTCGGTATCTGAAACTGATGAATCCGACTTTGAGCTTGGAGGGGATCCCATTGTCGAAAAAGATCTAGAGGACGTGACTGTAGAGAAGGGAGGAACTGCAGTTTTCGAATGTCAGATGAAAGGAGTTGAAATAGTTACATGGTAAGTGTAGAACAAAAACTCTTCAACTTTTTTGTCCCTTTTCCAGCTTTAAATGTTTTGTAAATCACGGAACTTTGGAAACTTCCATTACTAAAACCAGGCGCGGATCTAAGAGTTTCTCGAGGGGGGCGGATTCTGAAAAAAAATTTGGAAATTTTTCTCGACCTATTTTTTTTGTAGGTCGACCAAATTGATTTTCAGAGCTGTCCCAAATCACTCTAAAGACCCTACCTATATTTACCAATCTTTTTGCGCCGCAGGCAACTTTTTCAAAAAACAGGCCTAAAAAGGCGTTTTTGGGCATTTTTTTGGAAAATGTTGACCAAGAAATTGCGTTTTTTCGGCGCGCGCTCCCCCTCAAAGTTAGTATATATTGGCTTTAGAAAAATTTGAAGGTCAGTCGTCCAAAAGTGGAAATCTCAAAATAGTACAAAGGGGACCCTTTTGGTCGACAGGGGGTCGATTTCTTGAAGGGGGCGTCCGCATGACCCCCCCCCCCCCCTCCCCTGCTCCTAAATCCTCAACTGACTAAAACCATTTTGGCACAATTGAGTCAAATTATGTTTATTTCGAATTCATTAAAACCAATTTGATGCTAAAACAGCTGTTTGTAGGTTCAAGAACGGTCGCAAGGTTCTCGGTTCTCGCTTCATACAAGAGTCATTCGCCGCCTCCTTGTCGTCCACCTCGTCTACCGTGTTCCGACTGACAATAAATGACGTGAAGGACTGGGAAGATGATTTGAGGTTCCAGTGCAGAGCCAATACAGACCAGGGGTCGGAGGAGGTCAAGTTACAAACTAGTGAAAAAACTCTTAGTGTCGCAGGTACAGTTCTTCAGTCGTGCTTTCAACTGCAATGTCAAAGCTTCATAACCGTTGTCAAGAAAAATTGCTTTCTCGCTAGATTATCATTTTTACTGATTGAAATTCAATCATCAACCCATATACATTTACGCTTGCATTTAGTAAACGTTATCAAATCGGAATTGAGACTTTTTCTTAGATTAACGGCCTGGGAAGAGGTCGCGGACTTTTCTTGCTACCATTAAGACCCAAAACGTATATCTTGATTGCGACTCAAAATGGGTATGTCGCGACTTTGCGCGATCGCTGGATTTTTGCGCGACTTTGCGGGACATAAAAAAGATATGTCACGATTTTGCTCGACCCAAAGAAGACGTTGCGACTTTGCGCATGCAAAAAAATTTCTTCGCGTTTTTGCGCGTGTAACAAAATGTTGCGCGAGATTGTGAAACTCAAAAAACATAGGTTCCGACTTTGCGCGAGCAAAAAGGCTTTGCGCGACCCACAATTAGTATATCACAAGTTTGCGCGACAAAGATGCCTGTCTTCGACTGTGCGCACACCAGAAACGTTATGACTAACTGATTCGAACGATGACCATTTTCGATTTTGTTTGACTTTACCAGAAAATGTTCGACTTAGTCTGAATTTACCAGTGTTGTTTGAATTTGTTCAGTTTTACCGCGCGGTTCGTGGTCGTGGATTTAAGTTCAGACTAGAACATTGAGTATCAAGAACGTTTTGTAACTAAACTTTTTTAAACCAATAATTTCGTTTTGGGCTCAACATGCAACTTTTCCGATAAGGATTTTTAGTGTATTCGTGAATTAGGTTATAACCAATGTGAGCGGCCGAACAATGTTGTCAAAACTTTCGCAAAGACTTTGAAAATTCTCCCTCAAAAAATCCTATTTTCGCTCGTGGTATTATTATTTACCATTATATGTTTTTCAAAAATTAAAGTACATTTTTCAGCTTCACCGAAAATTGATCCTCCGAGGAAATACCAGAATGCTCCGACCATCACTTTGCGTCAAGGTGAAGAACTGAGTCTTTCGATTCCCATCATCGGTAAACCTACTCCTTTTTGGACCTGGGAGTTCCGAGCAGTCGGAGAAAATGAAACATCGGAAATACATGGAGCCGAGGGGCAGTCAAACAAAGCGGAGTTACGATTAAGAAAGATGGTTCGGAACAAGAGAGGAGTGTATATCCTGCACTCCTGGAATGAGTTCGGCGAAGATAGGAAGGAATTCAAAGTTGATATCGAAGGTCTGTATGGTCTTTGCTAAGAAAAAAAAATGACAAGAATTACTGTAATTGGTCAAAAAGTATGTTGTAAGCGAATTAGATAATTTACACTCAATTTTACATTTTGAAGAGAACAAAAAATTGTACTTAGTTTTACTTACATGTTTAAAGGGAATAAAAGTTTGTCTACGATTAGAAAATTGCAAGTTCACTAACTTATTTTAATTTCGTCGGCTGAAAATTTATTTAAAAGTTTGTAAAATTGAACTGAAAGCGTACGCACCAGCGGATTTAAGGGGCGTACGCACCAGCTCGTAACGAATCTCTTAAAGAATCCCCTTTTGCAAAATTGGGTACATAGTTAAAGAGATCCTAATTTTTTAAGACTTATTTTAGCGCTTCCGTCTAAAGTGAGGAAAGTGAAGCTGGAAACTGACCCTTCATTACAATTATCCTGGGAGGTCCCGGCAGACGATGGAGGAAAGCCAGTTATTAATTACCTAATCCAAGGGAAAACTAGCAGCAGCGTCAACACCTGGCGAACTCTACTCAAAACGAACAAGCTGGAAGCGAACCTGAAAGGAATTGTGTCGGAAGCTTCTTTGGTCCGAGTCATGGCCGAGAATCGAATAGGCGTGAATGAATCAAATGATTTTGAAGTTATTCAGATAGCCGACGGGGAAGAGAGCCGAAAAAGGAACCATTCGACAAAAAGCTACGAAGCTGAAGAAACTTCAAAACTGATGCAAGTAAAACCGAGCGAAACGGAAAGACCGCTTGTAGAACTCATTGGAAAGTGAGTTGGAACTACCTTTTAGATTTTGCATTTGTATGGTCCACTTTTTTTTACTGAGTTGATGTTTGTTGTATTGTTTTTTTTAGATTTGGTTCTTGCCAAGCTCAAAAAGTGACGATAAAAGACGTCGCAACCGTAAAGTTGATTCAAGATTCATCAAATCCTCTGTTCATGACAAAACTGGTGCTTGCGCTGCAAAAAAGAAAACCTGAAAACTTCCTTCAGCTTATTAGTTCAGACACAAATTCAACAGTGCAAACTTATAAGCTGCAATTGTAAGTGTAATTTAACAAAATTGATTGTTACCTGGGCAAATTTTTTTAAGTATTGAGTGTTTTAAACTGGCAATAATTCTGTCTCAACCCTTGCCCAAGTTTACTTATGTTAAAAGTGAAACAAAGTTTTGAAATCAGTAAACACCAAATCGCTGTATATTTTTACCGAAAGGCATAACAGCGAAAAACAATTGATTACAGCCGGTGATTAGAGCTAAGGAATTGAATCGATTGCCATATATCGATTGCCATATGTTCTGAATTCCTGCCGGCCCAAAATAGAAAAAATAGGACAGAAAAATGAGTTTCAATTTTCGCAACTTTTCATTAGGAGTCGATGAAAGTCCACGCTCAAAATTATTTTTCGCGTTTGACTTTTGGTTCATTTTTAGGTTCAGTTCATTTTTTTAATCAAAAAGAAGGCAAAACTCCCTATCGAACAGCAAAAGTGTAAACGTCGAAAGAGGATTTTTTTTCAGATTTTCAAGTGGAATAAAAATTTAACCTTTTGATCCGGTTTTCTCAAAATGAATAAACTTTAACAAAAAAAGTCAATCATAAATTGTTCTTAAAAATCAAAGAGCTTTATGGCCATATATTTTTGTTCCGACTTTGGAAACAGTGCGGATTTTTTTTTTCTTCAGTCAATTTTCGCTTTTTAACAGTTTGTTTTAACCGAACTTTGTTGTTATAAAGCGTACGCGGCAAGTTGAATCCTTTCAAATAGAGGCAAGCATTGTGGTTTTATAATTGCGTAACCACACGCGAAAAATATAATTTGGTACTTTTTATAGCTTGTGAGGTAAAAAATTGAGAATTTTTTTTAATGCTCAAAATTGTTTCATTTTTTTTTTCGTTTTGTAAGATAGTGTAAGTCAAAAAAAGTTGTGATTGACGATAGACAGCAGCCGGAACATTCAGAATTTCGCCTTCATCTACAAGAAGTCTGAAAGTTCATCTGAAAATTTTTGTTATCCGGAGCTCAAAATTTAATCTCTTCAAATACTTTTTTGTAAAGAAACTGGTTCTTAAAAATTGCTAATTTGGTCAATTTGTGACAATCAGCGCGCGATTTATTGCATTCTCATTACACGCGTAAGAAGCGGTTTAATGCGTTCCGAATTGAATCGATGAAAACCATATAGTCGTATTATCGAAACAGACGCTAAATATATCCCTCTTTGTAGTTCACGTTAGTATGTTGGGGGAATAAATTGAAAAAAAGATTGAAAAAAGCTGTTTGCTCTTTTTTTCCAACAAAAAATATTCAATTGGCCGCAACAAAAATCTTTAAAATTGAAATCAAAATGTTATTTTATTTTATGAAGGAATCGGTTGGTTCTGACTATTGAATTTTTTTGGTGAGACAAACAAAAACTGGTCTGCAAAAATGTCGGAACATTTTGTGATGGACCGCGTTATATCTATATCTAGATATTCAATTTCAGCTTGGACTTGACTGACTTTATGGACCCCTGTGGGTGGATGAGAGATCGAACTGAGGCTGCAATCGGAAGAATAATACTCCAGATATTGCAGTGTCTCCAGTTTCTACACGAGCGATCGATCTTGTATCTATCTTTGCATGTAAGGTGGTTGAAATCAATTTGCATAAATTTCGAACGAAAACTTGGAAAAACTTCCAAAAATTTATAATTTTTGTACTTAATTTGTGAGAAATGAGCCGAAATAATACTTGTGGATAATTTTTGAGTTCTAGTCACAAAATCAAACCTTTTTTATTTGAAAACCTAGCCGTCAGTCATTGAAAAACTATATCAGAAAAAGTAATTATTTAAAATATGATTAAATGTTTCAGCCCATTTTTCTGGCACTGGACAAACAGAAGCAGTACTCTATTCATCTTTTCGGGTTTCCTTTCTCCCGCAGAATTGATCCCGATTCCGTCGCCAGCTTTCCCAAAAAGTTTTCCGAGTTCTACGCGCCGGAAGTGTTCCGGGAAAAACCTGTCGGGCGGTCCTCGGATGTTTGGTCAGTTGGAGCTCTGACAGAGTTCATGTAAGTAAACATTTCGCTAACACGATCTGCCAATTTAATGCTTTTTAACCGCCAACTCTGTTTATAGGAAAAATTGATCCCACTCTCAGCCTAGTCACACGAAATTTGTTGCCCAACAGTAATTTTGGTAATTGGGTCTATATTTTACTGAGGGGGGATAATGGCTGGTAAAAAGCAGAAGTATCATTAATCGTCACCATTTAAGTAACTTTTAGAAATATCTCACGGAAATGTTTTTTTTTCATTCCTCTGTTGACTCTCGTGTTGCAATCATTTTTTTCTGAAAAGACTCGAAGACCCAGACTTAAAAGATATCCTATGTGACAATTTAATAGTCAATATCAAAGACTCTCTGCAATTTTCACCTTCAGTTTTTTTCGCTTATTTTTGCATACATGCGGGCATTTTGCATGTTTGCACGTGTTTGCACAACAAAAAAGTCGCTGTCATCCCGTTTTTTCACAAAAATCTGCATGACTCTCTGTTTTAGGATTAGCGGTAAGACATTCCTGCCGGATTCCAGACTTTCAAACCAAAGTTCGAGTTCTGGTCTCAAATCCGCTGAGTTGCACAACTTCATTCAGCTCGCTATTCAGCCGGACTCCTCGCAGCGCACTTCAATCGAAGAGTGTCTCCATCATCGATGGATGAACAAACTGAAGATTTCAAGTGGCGAGAAGGCGGAGTTAGCTAATCCGAACAAGAATGTCGGAGTGAAATTTATGAAAGAAAAACTGAGGGAGTGGCGAAGCGTGGTAAGATATTTTCCCGTAGAAGCCATGCAGTTCGCTTTAATTTCAGCCGAAATCGGTGTCAATAAAAAATATAGAACTATTAACTGGTTAACAGTAAAGATTAAATCCGTGATCGCTTTTGGAAGCCAATTAGGAAAAATTAGTATTTTTTTGGGAACATTTGGGACTGCGTCTCAGTTCGCAGAGTGGCTGTTGAGAGGTGCTCGCTCACTAGTGCTGTCCAACTACCGCTCCTTGCGGAGACTTTTGCCTGCTGTGTTTTCACCCTGGGTCGGTTCGCCTCTCATCATTCAACCCGGTCATATCGCTTGTACTACACAACCATACTGACATAGAGCTTAGTGTGGACACCAGATCAACACAAGCCCTCAACCAACAGTAGCCCACTCTGAGAACCGATCCCACACTCCCTGTCGTCCAAGTAGCTAGACTCACAGAACGACGCCACTTTTTAGTCGCGATATGCCAATAAATTGAAGTTGAATGAACAGAATCTTTTTTTTTGTTTTCCTGAATTGTTCATGCAGACTACAGTTAAAAGACGATTTTGAATAAAAAAACTCTTTAAAAAAAACTTGAATAGAAAACTCGAAAAAACCTGTTCACAATAACTAAACGGTTCTCCGTCCAAAATATTATTACATTGCGACAACGTAAAGTTAGTTTTTCAAAACTGAAATTCAATTGGTGGGAGAAAAATTCAAAAGAGCCTTCAATATAACGAAAAGTAACAAGTAATTATCATGAATACACTTGTGAGAGCAAGTATCTCGTAATCAGGATTAGACTTTCCCGCAAAAAATCTGTACACAATTGTGAAATTGCTTTTTAAGTGACCCTTAGTATCTTCAAGACTTCTTAACACTTAGTTTGAGCTAACGCGGTTGCATTTGGCCATAAAGTCTTAGGTTCAAGTCCCTGCCGGACCTTGATTTTTTTTATAATTGAAACTTATTTTCCAGGAAAAATTGTTTTCCAGGGCAATTTTCGGTTTCTGTTTTTTCATTGTGGTTTTCACTGTAAGATTAATTGGTTTCGGCTGATGCTTTATCGGCTTGTTGAAATTATTTTGTGTCGCTTTAGGGGCAACAAATAATTTTTTTTTCATACAAATCAGGAAATTTGTGTTGCAAGATTTCAATTTTTAAAACCTAATTGACAACAATTTTTTTATGACAACAATTTCTGGGCACATTGTTTTAGTTTTCTGCACAATGGATGTCAACCTTTTTGTTGTCGACTTAGTGGCCGCTCGCTAAATACAAAAATCTTAATTTATACTGGTAGTTCCCATGTTCGACTGGTTTTCTCAAATTATTTTCATACCCCATTTTGAAATCGGAAGGAATTGTTCCAACCATTGAAAACGGTGAGAAGCTTTGTATTCGGGTGTGGTTTAGTTTTTTTCTTTTTGTTTTCCACAAAATCAGGTACCACAGATAATCATCGGACTGAGTTGAAAGCTATATCATAAAAAAGTACTTTTTTCGTGATTCAAACTACCCAAAAAAATTCCCAATTTTTTTTAGTGTCGAGAAAAACCTGTTGGAAATTTTTGATTTTCATCTAATTTCGAGCAAACAAAGCGAGTGATCAGCATACAACAGCTTTGTTTAATTTACAGGCATACAACAGTATTTGTTTAATTTGCCTGTATTACTATGAAAGTCAAATATGCCCTAAATATAAATTTACATCAGTCTTTTTATCACTCCACGCAGAAAAACTAATTTGAGAAAAAAGCTTGATTTTGTAGTTTTTTAAAGACTATGGTCGGAACATTCGTTGCTATTTTCATAGTAACCGGCTATCCCTTTCTTACTTTTGCTGCAAGTGCAAGTACACTGCGAGTGCAAGTGTTTTGTAATTGAGAACTAGATTTTTTTCCCGGTAAACACCTGTTCTTTCAACGGTTAAGTTGCTTTATTAGTGAACCTTAGCAACTTCGAGACCTGGTCCACATATTACGTGGATGCTTTTGTACCATAAGGTCTGGGCTGGACCTTGTTTTTTTAGTATGAAAGAATTTGAATTTTTTTCCGGGAAAATTTTATTTATCGGATTTTCCTTTGTCTGTTTTTGTTTTGTCGGCTTAGCTCCCATATTCACTTAATTTTTATTGTAGACGCTAGTTTTTTGGTTTACTACTGTAATTTGTTAAATTATTACCCCTTCGTTGCATATTTTCGTTGGTTTTCCTTTTTTCGCTAAAAAACTTTATTCGGCCAGAATTGTTTCGGCTGGTTTTTTCAATCGGCTCAGCAACATTTTTTTGAGTTGCTTCAACGGCAGATAATGATTTCTTGATTCAGGTAGTCTGTTACAAGATTTCAAAGTATTAAAGCTTAATAGCTCAAAATTTTTTAATGACATCAATATCCTATGGCTTTTTTTGTTACTGATCAGGAAGCGTTTACTCACTTGTGGTCGGCTTACCTGCCACTTGATAATTTTTCTAAGTTTATTTAATACTGGTGGTTGTGTTATCGACTGCTTTTCTGAAAATGTTTTGACTTTTTCCCAATTGTTTTTTTTTTCGATTTGGTTATTTCGATCTCATATTCTATTTCATAGCTTGCAATGCTGCGCTTGCGTTGTGTCTTAAGTTATGCGAAGCTTCGCTTCGCCTCTGTGTGAAAACTCAAATGCGGACTGATAATTCTATGACAAGCATAATTAACCGTATAAAACCGCTCGTTGCAGCGTAAAGTTGCTGCTCGTGTGAGGTGGATGAAATGAAAAAAAAAGAGCCGCTCAATCTTGAAATGTTCTGTATGTATTAGAAACGAAGACGAAAGAATACTTGAAAAATCAAAAATTAGAAAAAGTCAATTTTTAGAAAAAAAAATCATGATTCTGAGTCAAACACTATTCCATAGACTTTAAAGGGGGGTAGAAACGTTCAGGGCTGCTCAGAATTTTTTTCAGGAACTTTTTCCAGCTAAGAATATGTGCCGCACACTATAGTACCAGACAAGGTTGCTAGGTTGGTTAACATTTTCAATTTCCAGGGAATGATGCTCAATCCAGTTCTCGTTCTGATCACAAATATTTTTACTTTATTTCTTCATTTTTCCATTCTCTATTAGTTTTGTAAATCAATCAAAGTATATTGGGTAACTTTAGGACAATTGGACGGAGAGTGGACACGTGTATGGTCGACTGACCTATCTCGAGGAACTTCGAAACGGCGGAAATGAGATGCTCTTCTGTCCGATAGGTGAGAAAATATTGGATTAGAGATTTCTTTTATCAGGTGTTTTATCAGTTTTTTGCTTTAAGTTTGCAGTGTGAGTCGAAGATTAAAAATATTTTATTGTGATTGTTTTTATCAGTTTTTTGCTTTAAGTTTGCAGTGTGAGTCGAAGATTAAAAATATTTTATTGTGATTGTTTTTATGAGATTTTTGGTAGCTACAAAAAACCGTGCTGAATTTTGATTTTTTTCTTAATCCAAAATATTAATTATTAATAAAGGTCCGATTCGATTACTTCGAGATAATTTCCATCATTTATTTTCAATCATGCAGTAACAGTTGTTATGGTGAAGTTTTCGAGGGGGTCTATGTGTGAAGTCTGGAGGTTTCTTTCTCGTTGATCACCCTCCAGCGACCAGATGATGAGTTCTGAACCACAAAAACAGGACCTCGACCCGTTAAGGTTGTTTGAAGCTATCAAAAAGGAAAGCTTGCTTTTTTGAATTAAATTTTTATGTCCAAACAATGATTACGTCTCAAATGGCAAAAAAATGAAAAATTTCCCAATTGGCATAAGTTTCATGCAACAGTTGCATTTAAAAAAATCGAGAACAAATTTTTGATGAACAATTTGAGAAAATTTGTCAAGTTGTCAATTAAAATGTTGATTGACTTTTTATCTTGATAAAATTGCAGAGTTGTTTTATCAAAAGCGAAAAGCATAAGCTCTCGGTTATTGATTAGCTTCTTGAGGTCAAATTTTTGGTGGAATCCCTCATACGCGAAGGAACGAATGCGCAAAAATAAAAATCAGCCAATCAGATTTCAGTAATCTAAAAATTGGAAAGAAAGTAAACATTTCCAGGGATGAGTATTGATATTGGCCGAATATAAAAACGGCAGAAATATGCAAAATTTTCAAATTGTCATTGACCGCCGCAAAATTGGGACAAATTTTATATTTCAAGTGTTTCGTAATGAAAGAAGCAAAATATTGCTTCATTTATTTCATTTAAATTGAATGGCAATTGCTTCTTTTAAAAAGAAATTGACTTTCGGCTAAAATTGAGTTCGATCTTCCGCTCACGAGTTTTTTCGCTCTTTCGGTTCTTCGCGCATGAGAATACCTCCCAAATTTTCCGCCAAATTTGTCGCTTAACATTTGTTTGGAAGCAATTAATTCCATATGTTGTTCACATGGTTTGGTTCCTGGCAAAATAAATAATTAAAACTGATAGAAAACGTTGGGGCCTAGGAAATTAGACGATAGGCAAATTAGACGGATGCTACGAAAACGAAATTAGACGGAATTTTATTTTTACAGATCGTCATTTTAGACGAAAAATCTATGAAAAGGAAAGGGACAACAAATCTTTATCTTAAGAGTCAAATTTCACAAATACAAAAAGAACATAAAAGGTCAATACCTATCGAAACAATTAGTTTAAATGAACAAAAAAATATCAAACCCGAATAATTACTACAGAGTTTTCAATTGAATAAATTATGCTTGATTGACTTGTAAAATTTTTGGCTACCGCAATTTAACTGTTGTCTACGAACAATTATATTTTTCTCGCGCAATTTGTATGCAAACAAATTTAATCTCACTCACTTTCGTCTATTTTCTCTCAATTGCAGTTTTGCAAAATCGTCTATATTCCTTTTAAGTACATCCGTCTAATTTGCTTATTGTCTAATTTCTCAACCCCCGAAAAAGTTTGACTTGGAGGCTATTCTCGGGCCAGTACAACAGTGCCGAAGTACAACAGTGATGAAAAAAATATAGTTCAACAGTGCCGAAAAAGAAAACTTTGTTCAACAGTGCCGAAAATTTCAACATAGTAGGTGTGGCAATCAAAAATAAAACGGCGATTGTTTACAATCTTAAGTGACACTTAAAAATTTTCAGAGAGAAAGTTTACAATTTAGACGTTTTGGAGCCAAAATAATTGTTTAATTCGCAGTTGCAGACATTTTGGCGCCGAAATTGGAGTGATTTTCTTTGATAATTAGCGTCAGTAATTTCCCGCTCTTTAGAAAAAGCGTTTAAATCATTTTGAAATTTTCCCGTCTTTTTCGGCACTGTTGTACTTCGGCACTGTTGAACGCCCCCCTATTTTCATGCGCGAAGGACCGAATGAGTGAAAAAACTTGTGAGCGAAAGACCGAAAACAAAATTAGCCGAAAGTCAACTTTTAATAAGAAGCAATTGCCATTGCTTAAAATGAATTAAATGCAGCTTTATTTTGCTTCTTTCATAACAAAACCCTTGAAATATGAAATTTGTTTCAATTCGGCGGCGGTCAGTGACAATTTGAAAATTATGCATATTTCTGCCGTTTTTATTTTCGGCCAATTTCAATATTCAGTCCCTGGAAATGTTTTCTTTCTTTCCAAATTTTAAATTATTGAAATCTGATTGGCTGGTTTTTATTTTCGCGCACTCGGTCCTTCGCTTATGAGGGATTCCATCGTTTAACTTACAATGAAAACTTAGAACTTATGCCATCTGGGAAAAGTTTTTTTAATGCCATTTGTGATTTATGCCATTTGGGAAGTTACCCAAACAATTTGCAACTCTCTACAATATCTCATGTTTTTTGTCATAAACTATTTTAGTGGTGAACTTTAAATAGTGTCCAGCTGTATGGTTAAACTAACTCGTTTTAGAAACGCTAGATGCAGCTCCTGTGTTCCTTTCCCTGCCCCCTAAAGAGCTCAGTTGCCACAGGGGCGAGACTGTCACCATGTCCTGTTCAGTAGCAGCCATCTCACCACCAGTCGTGACTTGGTAAGCGGCAATTCTAATCATGATTTATTCATTCACCTTGAAAATTGTGTTTGTTTTATATTAAAAGGCACTAGAAATAGTTTTTGGCCGTACTTCTGTACACGAAATGCTAGCTTACTTGGCTTGTAAAAGCACTCGTTTTCTTCGGTTAAACTGCATTCAGGTTTAGGTCATATTTATCCGGGTTGTTATAATACATGGAATCGGGAATCTAAAATTTTGACAGATTAACTCAAATTCGAGACGTGATCGGAACAAAAGGTTGCATTTAACACCTTAAACAGCTTTCAAAAAAATTAGGTCAATTTTTTCTAAAATTAAAATGACAGGGGCTTCGATTGGCTTCTGGCGTCTAATCGAAACTCTTAGAAGAGGGTTCTTGAGATCTACCTTACAAAAAAATTATTCTTCTGGAATTTTTCCATCGAGCTTGAATTTTGTAATAAACAAGCTTCATTATGATGTGCACTTTTGTAGTTTATTTTTTCACCTAATTTAAGGTGAAAAAAAAACACAGGCCAAACTTCCATCTCCATCCTGGAAATGTCGAAACAATTGCTGTGAAGAGCTTATTAAGTAGTTTCAGAGAAGGCAAATGATCGACTCATTTACTGTAACGACCGATCCCAAAGAAGAGTTTTCAATAATGACACAACTGTTGCCAAAGGTAATCATTATCCACTCCTAATGTATCGAAATCAAACATCAAAAACGACAAATATAGATGTCGAAAACAAGCAGCGATATGCAGTGATCTTGTCAATTGAGTCCCTGTGAAGAGATTGATAAAAAATTGCGCACAGACGAACCAAATTCACGGTCGAACATTCAGGCCAGACAATAAAACAAAAATTGTCAATTCTTGTGAGAACGTTGACCGAACTTGTTATCCGGCCGGATTGGCACGAACCATTATTAAGTATTTATATTTATATATAATTTATACATAGTTAGTCAAAGACCAGATGGATGGCCTTCACGATTAACAAAAATCATACGGCTGAGCAATACCGTTCAGTTGGTGTTAAATTCAAAATTATGTTCAGCTACTTTTCTTAAAAAGACTTACTTAGTCATCACTAGCCAATCCGTTCGGATTCGAAAACAGATCATACATTACGATATGACATGGCGCAGCCATCAGGGTATAAAAACCCGCTGAGTATTCCACCGTTTCAGCAGAGGGCATCAGTGAAACCGCCACTAGAATGGTCAAAGTGGGCGGCAATGATGGTAATGGCTGTGATTGCCAAAGATGGGATGGAAGTAAGAATTTTGCTAAGAACGAAACCTCCAAGTGCTAGGACCAACTGAACCAACCTACGAGGTTGAAATCACTGGAGAAAATGAAGCGGAGAAACGTAATAGAAATATCAGAAACCAATAAAAACGATTTACTTGGGAAAATACCGTGATAAAAAGCAGAGACAAGGGCGCATACTGTACCCTGGGACGACGAGGAATTTTTTTTTCATTCTTGTGCCTGAGAGCAAAAGGGCAGCGCCCATTGCAACAAAAGAGACCACGCCTTAACATACAAACGTCAAATACAAATGAGCTAATGCGAATTCTTTAAGATATATTTGTAGTCACATGTTCAAGGCCCACATGTCAAATGAAAAAATAGCAAGGCGATAAAAAAAAAACGTCTAGAGCACCAGCAATTACTTCAGTTTATTATTTTCTGGCCTAGTTGTTTATAGAAGGGGTTTCCGTTTATACTTCCGTTAGTTTTCCGTAGTAATTTACCTTTAAACTGACTGTTTAAGGGCACTCGGGATGATGGAGGTTTTGAAGTAGTAGGAAGGTCTGAATCGTAGCCTTTCTCCAATGGTGACTGGTTCTTTTTCGGTATGAGGGAGTCTTTGTATCCGTCCTCTATCCGATCGTCAGCGTTCCAGTCGAGGGCCCTTTCTCTGCTTACGATCGACTTCCCTTTGTCTAAAAATCCACCGGATAAATTATTAGATGCCAATTGCTTCCAGATCGTGTTCGGTTTTCTATTAAAGTGTATTTCGAACGGTGAGCATTTAATTTTAGATTGGAAGGAAGATCGTAGATTCCAAATGATTTTCGAAATGGCGGTTTGTAATGTAGGTTTTTGTTGATCCAATGACATTGCTAATAATTTTATTTTTACAGTATGAACAAGTTTTTCTACAAGACCGTTAGAACGATGGTCTCCAACTGTACAAAATATTAGTTTGATATTAAGAGAATTGCAAAATAATTTAAAATCCTGACTAGTAAAGCAGGATGCGTGGTCGACCCGAATAGATTTTGGAATAATCTTGAAGAAATAATCTTGAAGAAATTCGATTACTGTGTTTGATGACGTTGAAGATGTAATTTTTGCTGAAGGGAATTTTGAAAAACGGTCTATACACAATAAGATGTATTTATTGTTTCCCCAGTTGTTATCTAGTGGGCCGGAAAAGTCAAGATTTATTTCCTCATTAGGTTCGAATAAGGTCGGAAGTTCGCTAATTTGTGTAGTTGGTATGATGCTTTTTATATTCTTACCGGTTTGAGTGCATTGTGTGCAATTAATCCCGTGGAAGTAAATTTGTCGATATATGTGTGGCCACCAAATGTATTGTGCCAAGTATTTCATGCCGAATTGGCCAGGGTGAGATTCATGTAAGGTTTTTAAAACGGCGTTTCTAAGTGTAAACGGAATAACCAATTTTCCATCCATATATAATAGTCCGTCGGATTCATGAAGGTCTTTCGAAAATTGGTGTAAGTAACGGGAATTTGAGTTGATGTTATCTACTTTTTTCTGTAAAGCTTTCACAATTGGGTTTAACAATTCATCATCTTCCGTTAATAAAGCGACCAATTTTGCATTGAATAATGTATTTAAATCCAAAGGTCTTTCAGGTAACTTGAGGTTTTCTCGGAATTTAGTTACTAACTTCTTGTGCTCTGAGGAAATTTGAAAATCGATAGAGACCTGTATCCCGGAAGTGGAAGGATTCACTACAATTTGGTTATTTGACATATTTACACTATTTATAAGTTTGAGATCCGAAGGATTACTAATTAAGCTACTGTTAAGAATTAAAAAATAGATAAAGGCTGAATTTGATAGAGAAATTTTAGTAAAATCAGTGTTTGAGAAATCCGAAGGAATACATTTAGAGTTACAAAGTTCTGTTCTATAGTGTTTTTGATTGCAGATTGAAATGGAAGAGTTGACGAAATTCAATGCTGTAATTATTACGTGATTTCGTAATTTCGTGTAATGGGAATTTTCCGAAATCGAATTAATTGAATTACGTAATGGATTTTCATTATCCAAAGGATTGATTGCATTATATATTTTTTTGGTAGTAGCAACTACAAATTCTTCGTCGTAATGTGATGAGGGAATTGCTTTACCCGAAGGAGTTCTTGAAATTAAGTCTGTAAAACCCATATCTTTTCCCGCTAAATGTTTGATAGTAAAATTGAATGGTAGGAGACGATCTACCCATCTTGTCAATCGGCTTTGGTATGTTTTGTTTCCGTGATTTGGTGACAAAGCGGAAAGGAGAGCTTTGTGGTCGGTGATAATTTCAAATTCAGAGCCGTAGAGATAATTTTTGTAATGTTCGACCGCCCATACGACTCCTAATAGCTCTAATTCGTTTGTTGAATATTTGGATTCATGGGGATTTAAAAATCTTGAAGCAAATGACACTGTTTTCCAAACCTTCTCATGAAGTTGTTCAAGGGATGCACCCAACCCATTATGTGAAGCATCTGTTTTTACTCTCGTGGGCTTTTTTACGTCGAAATGAGTGTTTTCAGTAAGATTTACTATTTCTGATTTAATCTTTACAAAAGCTTTTGAGTGATCTTCATTCCAAAGGAAAATTGACTTCTTGTTTAAAAGAGGTCTAAGCGGGCTTCCGAGGGATGCTAAATTTGGTACAAATTTAATGTACTGATTAGTTGACCCAAAGAATGATCTTAGTTCTTTTAGATTCTTCGGGATTGGAATATCTTTAATTGCTTTGGTTTTATCGAATAGTGGGGCGATTCCGGATTTCGATATTTTAAAACCGAGCCATTCGATTTCTTTTTGGAAGAATTTGCACTTCGACCATTTAACTGTGAAATTGTAAGTGTCTAACGTTGATAAAATTTTATAAACGATTTTCTTGTGATCGTTCAAACTTCCTTTGGAAGCGACTAATATGTCGTCGAGGTAACAATTTGTAAAAGTAATGTTTCCCAAAGTTGAGTCCATGACTCTCTGAAACTCGTTTGGCATATCGCCGAGTCCGTAAAAACCCGTTAAAAATTGATAAGTGCCTGTTATATCTCCGCCGACTAGACTAAAATTGCATTGGCTGCTAGTAAAATTGTCCAGCGCAAGTTGACTATATGCGTTCTTTAGGTCTAGGTTTGTAAACCATACTTCTCCGACGGAATTGTTTGAAATTTGAGCCGCTACGTTATCAACTAATTCGTGTATATTAGGCATCTGATATTTGTTCTTGTAGATTTGTTTGTTGATAAATTTTGAATCTAGGGCTAGCTTTATCGATTTGTCTTTTTTACAAGTAATAACTATCGGACTAATAAATCTGTCCTCGTCACAATTTTCTAATTTTTTGATGTGTCCTTCGGATTTAAGCCTGTATAATTCTGTTTTTACTGAATCCAGTAAGTGTAAAGGGACCCTCCTGCCTTTTAATTGAATTGGCTTTAATGGTTCATGAAAGTGTGTAATTTTTGTTTGATTTTTTATTTTTCCAATCCGAAGGAATAGTTGTTTGAAGGTTTTTCCAATCATTTCTACTTCATTATCTATGTCAAGTGAGGTAACTGAATTGATAGACTTACAGGTTCTCTTGTTGGTGAATGTTGCGTATTGTTTTTGTGAAACTTCGATTCCGACTTTTGGTAAATTGTCATTTCCCAAGATATTTCTTTCATGACCTTGAGTTAGGAAGAAGTGACATTCCTTGTGGGACCATCCATTTGAGAAAATTGGGACAATTACTTTT